TTATAAGTCGCCATGTCATTATTTGGGAGCTGGTTGGTGGCCTAAAAGAAAAAGCCTGCTAAGCCATAACATGCTAAATTCAAGTCCCAGAGCCTCAAGAAGCCCCCAGGTGTTAGCACAGCTGCAAACACCACTCTAATACACGGTGTGGGGGTGGGGAGTGGGGGCTTAGTTGGTGCCTGGGTTTCATCCCCAGCACCACATGACCCAAGCTTGGTGGTTCACATCTGTAATCTCAGCGTTTGGGAGGTAGAGGCAGGGACAACAATTTAAAGTCATCCTCAGCTGCATACTTGAGATCCTGTCTCAAAACTGAAAAATAAATAAAGGCACAATGCTGGGGGAAACAAGCAAGGGCTTAACGAGGTAGAGGCTCAGCGAGTAACACAGACACACAAGCTAAAAACACAGCAAGGGAAGAGAGGGAGGAGGGGGGAACACTAATAAATTCTTGGGCTGTTCCATGTAAAGGATGATATATTGTCCAGACCTTGAAAACTTAACAGCCCCACAGCACCCTGTTCTGTCTGAACACACTGAGAATTGCATTAGTTCTGGGCACCACAATTTGAGAGCAATATTGACAAGAGCTGTAAAAATGTTCATGCCCTTTGACCTAATAATCTCACTCCTGGGAATTTATTCTAAGGGAATAATTCAAGAGACTAGATGAATTAGAGATATGCAAGTTATCAACGCAACATTCTTTGCTACATATACGTATCTGCGAGTGTGTAAAAACAAATGTTTCTTCAAAAGGGATGACTGAATAGCTTTAAGATGTAAATTACTGAAATATAAAATAAATATGGTAGTGATGCATGCAATAACATGAACAAACCTTCAAAAGTCATACTCCATGAAAGAAGCCCTACACACACAAAGGGTAACACGTTGTCTGATTCCATTTATACAAAATATCCAGGATAGAGCTGAGACTGGTGGTTAATGACTATAACCCTGGCACTAGGAAGGCTAAGGCAGATTGCCAGGCATTTGAGGCCAGACTGTGCTGCTTAGTAAGTTCCATGTCTGTCTGAGCTACAGTATAAGAGCAGGTCTCAAAAAACGAAGCAGAGAAATCAGCTATGGTAGTGCATGCTGGTCGGTCAAACCAACACTCTGAGATCAGAAGTTCAAGGTCATTGTCATCCTGGGATGCATGAGACCCTGTCTAAGGGGAAAAAATAGATAGAGGCCTAGAAGAGACGAGAATGAGAATGAGGTCTAATGGCAGGGATAGGGTAGGGGGAAAGGATCTAGAAAAAAATAATTAATTAATTGATAATTAATTAAAGCAAACATCAGAATAAGCAAGTGATAGAAGCAAAATAGAGAGAACCTTCTGGCTACTGGGAGACAGCAAGGAAAAGTGATGCCAGGGAGTGTGGGGCATTTTGGTGGAGTGTGAAACTGTAGAATTAGAGAGTCCTGGTGGCTATACTTGTGAATCGGCATAACACCATAACATTGTAATTTTTTTTGAGACGGTGCCTGTTAGTACAGCTCTGTCTGTCCTAAAACTTTATGTAAACTAGTCTGGCCTTGAACTCACACAGAGATCAACCCACAGCTACCTCCCCAATGCTGGGGTTAGCACTGTCTAATCTAAGAGGATGAATTTAGCTAAGCAGTCCTACGTGCCTGTAGTCAGGACTCAGGAGGCAGAGCCAGGAGGATGAGCAGTTCCGAATCACCCTTTGCCACCGAGAGCTTCGGGCCAGCCAGGGTCACATGAGCCCCTGCCATAAAACAACACAAAACAAAAAGAATACATTTGCTAGGCATGGTGACATATGCCTGTAATCCTTGGGCAGAAGAAGTGGGAAAATTATGAGTTCGAGGCCAGACTGGCCTATAAGAATGAGCCCCTGTCCTAACAAAAGAAAATGAAGCTAAAATGGACACATTTTTTTTTTTTTTGGTTTTTCAAGACAGGGTTTCTCTGTATTGTTTTGGAGGCTGTCCTGGAACTCGCTCTGTAGACCAGGCTGGCCTCGAACTCACAGAGATCTGCCTGCCTCTGCCTCCCGAGTGCTGGGATTAAAGGCGTGCACCACCAACGCCCGGCTAAAATGGATACATTTTATGCCTCATTTAGACAAATCCCTGAGTCTCTCTCTTCCTTTTAGGGCAGTAGTTAATACAGTTCCTCATGTTGTGGTGACCCCAACCATAAAACCATTTTCTTTACTACTTCATAACTATAATTTTGCTACTATTATGAATTGTAATGTAGACATCTGTGTTTTCCAATGTAGACCACCCCTGTGAAAGGGCTGTTCAACCCCCTCAGATAGGTCATGACCCCATAGGTTGAGAACCACTATTTCAGGGGGCTATGCTGTCAATCAAATCAAGGCCTTGGGCATTCTTTTTTTAATTATTTATTTTATGTACATTGGTGTTTTGCCTGTATGAATGTGTTTATGAGGGTACTGGAGCCCCTGGAACAGACAGTTGTAAGCTGCCATGTGTGTGCTAGGAATTGAACCCCGGTCCTCTGGAAGAGCCGTCAGTGCTCTTAACCACTGAACCATCTCTCCAACCCCAGGCCTTGGGCATTCTTGGCAAGTACTCTACCACTAAGCTACATTCCCCCAAAACCTTTCTCTCTCTTTTAATTTTTAGGGCTAGCACAACAGCTTAGTGAGCAAAAGCACTGTACGAGCAAGCCTGAAGGCCTGAGTTCAATACTCAGATCACAGCATTAAAGGAGAAAACAGAATCGTGAAAGTTCTCCCCCATACATGCTCTGTGGCATACAAATAGGTGCATAAACAAGGATAATAATAATGAGTTAAACTTGGCTGGAGAGATGGCTCAGAGATTAAGAGCACTAACTTCTTTTCCAGAGGTTCTGAGTTCAATTCCCAGTAATCACATGGTGACTCACAGCCATCTGTAATGATATCTGGTGCCCTCTTCTGAGCCTCAGGCAGAACACTGTATACATAATAAATAAATAAATCTTTAAAAATAAATCTTGTCTGCCTTGTGAGTTCTAGGCCATCTTGGCCTAAGTATATCTAAGCATTGGTAGGGAGAGCATCATACCTCTTAGTCACACCCTAGGTTCATAGAGCATCTAACTGCACCTATTTCAGAAACTGATACAGGACGATCACAAGCAACCAGGCAATTTAGTAAGATCTTGTCTCAAAATAAAAAGTAAGAAAGAGCTGAGCTCTATTCAGCTCTGAGACACAGCGCTGGCCTAGTACGTTCATGTAGCCCTGGGTTCAGTCCAGTTTCTGAACCACACACACAGATGTCCCAAAACAGGAAAGAAAACCGATCTTTCTTTCTTCCTTCCTTTTTTTTTTTTTTTTTCCCAGACAGGGTTTGATTAAAGCTTTGATGCCTGTCCTGGAACTAGCTCTTGTAAACCAGGCTGGTCTCGAAATCACAGAGATCTGCCTGCCTCTGCCTTTGTTTTTTGTTTTGTCTTAGTTTGTTTATTTTGTTTTTTTGTTTTTTTTTTTTGAGCCAGCATCTTACTCTTGCCCTAGCTGGTCTAGAACCCTTTATGTAGACCAGGTTAGCCTTGAATTCACAGAGATCTGCCTGCTTCTGCAAAATGTGTGTTACCACCCCAAGCCCTTTTTTTTTAGGGCTTTTAAATTTTAATATTTTGGGAAAAAAAAGTTTGAATAACACACTATGGAAAAGCAAGAAAACAGCCAGTAAAAGTTTGTAATTTTAACACGTTTCTGATCTTCGGTCTTCCTCTACAAAGTGAAGAAGCATCCTGGCCTAGCTCTTTTCCACATCTAGCTAGAATTCAATAAGGCCTCCTTGAAATCCACAAACTGCTGGTTCCCCGGGGCTTCCCCAAACTGCCTTAAAGACACACGAGATATATAATCATGAATCTTTGTCAGTCCTGTCTTCGTTTCTGCTCCTGTTGTTGTGATAAAAGACCCTGACAAAAGCAACTTAAGAGAAAAGAATTCGTTCTGACTTACAGGCCAAGTACAGTCCATCATGTCTGGGAAGTCAAGGCAGGAGCTCGAGGGCTCCGGTCCCGGGGACTCCACTATCAGGAACAGCCCCGAATGGGTGCATGGCCGTGCTCAGCTTGTCTTCCCCTTTCATTCAGTCCCAGGCCCAGTCCACAAAAATCATACTGTCTGCATTCAACCTGGGCTTTTCCACTCCAGATACCCTAGCTGAGAAAATCCCCCACAGACTTACTCAGAAGCCAGCCTTATCTAGATAATGCCTCAACGATTAATCTCTATATCTCTCTGGTAATTCAAGATAATGCCAAGTTGACAATTAAAATTCACCATCGTCAGCCTGGTCTACAGAGCTAGTTCCAGGACAGTCTCCAAAAAAACAATACAGAGAAACCCTGTCTCGAAAAACCAAAAAAAAAAAAAAAAAAAAAACCACCATCGCTTTGGAAGCATGATGGCACAGGCCTTTATTCCCAGGACTGGGGGCAGATGTAAGTATATCTCTGTGAGTTCCAGACCAGCCTGGTCTACAGGTCCCCATAATACAGCATCATCTGTTCCTCTTCCAATAGCCCAATACATCATTTATAGTCTTGTGACATTTAGTTCAAAGCAGTGAACAGGGCAGACTTTGGTATTTCTATGGCCATGTTCTGATCCTCTGTCAGAACAGATGCTCCTGAGAGTGAAATGATACAATCAGACTTCAAGTGCTGAGAAGACCTGAGAATTCAGCCTGTTCCTAACCCATGAGGGGCTCTACAACACTGTTCCAGTTAGAGGTACTCCCACCTGGCCACAGATATTTGTTCCTTTTGGGAAAAGTATAGAACTAAAAAGTATAAATGGAATAAAAACATTTTTCCCAGAACTTTGACATTTAACCCCTGTCTTACCTCTTGGAATCATATGACAGCATATGAAATATTAGAATCTTCATATTTTTCAGTCTCCTAACCCAGTACTTTACACCTTTATGAAAGTTAAAATGACCTTCCTCCATCATACATCAATGGACTGGGATAGGATACAGTGGTATATTCTTTGAAAGACATTTTATTGATTTTCACTAAACGCTCTTAAGAAAATATAATCAAGAATAGAAGCCAGGCATTGGTGGTGCACGCCTTTAATCCCAGTACTCGGGAGACAGAGGCAGGCAGCTCTCTGTGAGTTTGAGGCGCCAGTCTGGTCTACAGAGCCAGTTCCAGAACAGCCAAAGCCACACAGAGAAACTCTGCCCCCCCCACAAAAAAACAGTAGCCAAGAGTTTAGAAATTCAGAATATAAATATATGTTCTATCACAAACTTTCTCAAGTCTTTGAAGTCTTCCTTGTCTCTGCTGAAAGCAGCTTCTTTGGCATTTTTGGGATGCATTTTTTAATATGTTGCCCAACTCTGCTGAGATTGAGTCCATCAAGGTGTTACTTTTCACATCCACGATGCTCTGGGTTTCTTGGGCTGACTCAAGACTTCATATGCAGCCTGAATCTCCAGGAAGCGCCTCTGGGCCTCATCTCTCTGGTGCCGGTTGTGGTCTGGGTGCCAGACCTTCACCAGGTCTCGGTAAGTCCGATGTATCTCTTCATTGGTTGCCCCTTCTGGAAGGCCCAAAACCTTGGTGAAACAGAGCTCAAAAGTTAGCATCTCATAAGTGCTCTGGGAGCCCCAGCCTCTCTCTGCAGCTTAATAAACCAAGCTATTTAGAGTCTAGAATAGCCCAGAACCTCAGACAGAATTTCAGTCCTTTGGGCCAGGGCCTTACCTGGAGTAAGGTCCTGAGTTTGATCCACAGTAGTGAGAGAAAAACAAAACAGAGACACCCCCCAAAAACTTGAGATATGGTATAAGAGCTAGGATTCCTTGTGGGGGGTTGACAAGATGGTTCAGTAGATAAAGGTACTTATGAGAGTAGCCTGATGACTCGAGTGTGATCCTGGAATACACTTGGTGGAAAGAGACTCCCGGTCTTGTCAACTGTTCTCTGACCTCTACATTCATGTTGTGGCACATAGACACATACACAGTAACACATTTTTTTAACCTAATATAGCATGATAGGACTTGGATGTGGCTCAGTGTTACATACCCAGGGGTTCTGGATTTAATCTCCTACACCACAAGAATAGAACCCCTAATCCACAGTGATAGATGGCAGAAAGGAGGTAACCTCCAAGATAATATAAATGGGAAGGGATAGGAAGGAATCTTCTTGGAGCTGGTGGTGTTCCATTCCCTAACATGAGGGGCATAGACACTTTATGTTAAACTTCAATAAAAAGTATTCTTCAGCAAAGCGGTAGTGGCACATGCTTTTAATTTCAACACTCAGGAGACAGAGGCAGGTGGATCTCTGAGTTCCAGGACAGTCTGATCTACACAGAGAAACTGTCTCTAAAAAGAAAAAAAAGGGGGCTAGAGAAAAGGCTCAGAGGTCCTGAGTTCAATTCCCAGCATCCACATGATAGCTCACAACCATCTGTAATGAGATCTGGCACCGTTCTGGTTTGTAGGCATATACACAGGCAGAACACTGTATACATAATAAAAACATTTTCCAGATAGGGTTTCCCTGTGGTTTTGGAGTAAATAATATTTTTATTCATATGTGTTTCTCATCAGTATTGTACCTTCATGCATTACACAGAAGCCCAAAGGAACCAAGATACCCTTTCAGAGCACACCTCAAAACAGGCTACCAGCTCCAGCAGGGCTTCTAACTCTCAGAGTCCAGACATGCCCTGGGGAGACTTACCCAAAAAGAAAGGCTTACCTGGTAAGCCAGCTGGCGTTTCTCATCCTGAAAACTCTCAACAAATTCATAGAGCTTTTCCCACTCCTGGAACTGTCTACTGGTGAAGCCAGGATCCCCAACCAGTAGCCACCAGATCCGGCAAGGCAGAAGGAAGACAGACTCCAAGAGGCGGCCAAGAAGTGGGAAAAAGCTGAACCAGCTCAAGAAGGAGCCAAGGGTTTCCGCCACGTAGCTCAGGGTGGCGGTTGTATTGCACAGAACACTATATGCCAGCGGGCCTGTGAAGGCGAGGTAAGCCAAGCCCAGCCGGTAGAGCCGCACACTAATCGTCTCTGACTCCGCTGAAGTTTTGTATCTCCGATGCTTCTGGGCTGTAACGCTGGCAGCCAAACTGATGGGCAGGATGCCTATGGGGCGGCCATAAAACACAGGGGACATGAGGAAGGCTGCTCCTAATATGTTCTTAAAGTCTGAGGTCTGGTTGCCAACAGCAGCCACCAGCAAGACCCCTAAGCCAACTGCCAGAGGGAGTCCCACAATGTAGAAGTTGGCCATGGAAGAGAGGCTGATCAGAGCCACAAGACCAAAATAGATACCCACTGTGGTCTGGGCAGCAAAGCGAAGGAAACTCAGAGGTGGTATCCCCTCTCCTAGCCTCTGCTTCTGCCCCTGGGCTCTGTTGGCTTGAGCGACAAAGCCTGGGAGCTTCCAGAACTCGCAGAGCCAGCCCAACCCACCACCTCCCAGGGTAAGCATCCAGAGCAGGGCATGGTTGTCCCTTCCCAGATACAGGTGGTGGAGTCCAACAGGACCCCCGAAAGCCCAAAGGGCATAGGTCACCAGGAGCCCTTTGGCCATTCTCTAGGGCAAGAGTCTCAAAACAAATCCAGCAACATTTGACATTGAATGCAGAATCTCAAGGTCCTCTGTGAGAATCACCACCGTTCTGAGAGTTATCCTTAGGTCCTAAGAGATGGAGTGAGGAAAAAGCAGACTCATCAGGTGAGATCCAAACCCAACACAGTAAGACAAGTCAAGTCTGGTCCTACCTCAGGGTCTCTTGGGTTACATGTCTTGTACCTTTGTCTTAGCACCTTCCTGTTAATTACAGTCACAGTGGCTCCAAATATAGGGGAGGGGAGTGCTTCTTATGTTTTAGGGGGGTTTGGGTTTTTCGAGACAGGGTTTCTCTGCAGCTTTGGAGGCTGTCCTGGAACTCACTCTGTAGACCAAGCTGGCCTCAAACTCACAGAGATCCACCTGCCTCTGTCTCCTGAATGCTGGGATTAAGGGCATGTGCCACCACTGCCCAGCTTCATTGTTTAAATTTTCATTTTTTTTTTGAGACACAGTCTTATGTAGCCAAACTGGTCTTATGTGGCCATAACTGATGCCCTTGAGCTCCTGATCTCCCTCCCCCATTTCCCCAATCGATGGGGTTATAGTATCTGCCACCATGACCAGGGGTGAAAATGTTTAAAATGTTTTCAGTTGAGACACTGAGAACTAGGTGCCTGAACCAAACAAACAAACTAGAAGCTTGGGACTAGAAAGATGGCCCAGGGGTTACTTACTGCTCTTCCAGAGGACCAGGGTTCAGTTCCCAGTGCCTACATGGCAACTCATAGATACCCTCTTGTGTTCTCCGAGGGCACCAGACACCATGCAGTGCACACACAGAGATACAAGCAAAATGCCCATACACATAAAGTTAAAAAAGAAAAGACCTTGTCGGGCGTTGGTGGCGCACGCCTTTAATCCCAGCACTCGGGAGGCAGAGGCAGGCGGATCTCTGTTAGTTCGAGGTCAGCCTGGTCTACAGAGCGAGTTCCAGGACAGCCTCCAAAACAATACAGAGAAACCCTGTCTCGAAAAACCAAAAAAAAAAAAAAAAAAAAAAAGACCTTAAATTTGAAGCCTCCCCTCAGACTCATGGAAAAGTAATGGTTCCGGGGGTGAGGCTGGGGTCTCGAGGGCCCTTTTGAAAGCCAGTGTCTTATCTAAAAGCCCACCCCTTTAACTCCACACGTATGGCTGCTCTCCACCACGTGTCCCCAAGGTTTTTTTTAGCCTTTCTCCAGCCTTCCCATCTCCCCAGGCCATGAAAATTTCCCACAAGTCAAACTTGAAAGGGATCCTGAATTCCTTTCACTTACACATTCTGGGAAACATTTTGACCTTAGCACCCCACAGCTCAACTATCCTGTTCCCCAAAGAGCTGCAAAAAGCCTCTGAATATCATCAAATCCAGTGCCAAAGAGTGCCTGCCAATATGTCCTATCTGCTTCAAGCGAACTCACCCTCAGGCAGTCCCGGTAGAGCTGGCTGCCCAGGCCGCTTCAGACGAGTCATTTCCTTTGACCATAGACTCAAAATGGCCCTCCTGTCTCTCTGCTGGCACTTCCACACAAGTGGACTTTGTCTCTCAGTGCCGACTGTGTCTCTGAGGTCAGGCCACCTCCTCCAGGCCCCTCCCCGAAGCCCTCGTCAGCCCCTTCGGAATCACTTTCCGGCCCTGCCTTCCTCTACCTGCCCTCTCGGGTAAACTCGTAGGAAGCTTGCCCCAGGCTCGCCCAGTTTTATATTCTAGGGCTTGGAACCGCGCCCCAATCCCGGCGGAGTGCACCTCTTGCAGAGCGTCACGACAACCGCCAGGTGGCGCTGCCGATTAGGGGAGGAAGGCTCCCCCCAAAGTCCCCAGATCACCTTTTTGCAAGGTTGGGACACCCCAGGCCAAAGCTGTCCTGACTGTGCGGCTACCTGAAGGAAAAGAAAGGCGGTCCTACTCATAAAACTAAAATTCTTGATTATCTTGCTCTCTCTGCCACAAACGGGAAGAAATCCCTCTCCTACTTCAGGCTGAAAGCTTCTCTCCACACTCCAAAGAGCTTCAAGATGACCATTATAGTATCACTTCTAATTTCTTAAGAAAGAGACATCCACCCATAGGCAAAAGGGAGCGCCCAACAGCACCCCCTATTTTGCCTCGCAGTCTGGCTTCCAGACTTTCCAGTTTTAGGGGACTCCACGCCCAGACCTGAGCCTGACCCTGCATAGCCCCAGACCCAGAGAGCCTCGAAGTTGTTCTGATCCTGCAGCCCGAAGCTAAGGAAAAACACACTAGCGAGGAATACAGGGGCGCATCCTCAGAAGAATAAGATCACAACCAGGCCGGGGTGTGTGTGTGTGTGTGTGTGTGTGTGTGTGTGTGTGTGTGTGTGTGTGCCTTCTTGTTTTGGCGCTGGAGGCTTACAAAATCATTATTCCAGACTCCAAACCCGAGTGCAGCTCGGTGACCTTGGCCAAGTCACACCCTCTCCTGAGCCTGTTTGATTCTTTATAAAGAAGCTTGGAACTACAAGATCTCCCGGTCTTGACTAGAGGTAGGGATGGAGCCAGGGGGCCTCACTTAGAGTCACATGCCAAGAGTAGGCAGAGTGTTTCCGTTCCCTCCAACACTCGCCACCCCTGGCTGGGGGTGAGAAGGCAGCTCGGGATAGGACCCCACGGCTGGGGACGGGGGCGGGGCGGGGGACCCACAGGGCCGCTGAATAATGAATGAGACTTAATTGGGCCCGCACTGCGCGGCGGCGCACTAAGCTCGGCAAACACGCGAGCAGCCGCCGCCGCCGCCGCCGCTGGACAAACAAACTAGCTCTGGGTGCCGGGAGCCCGGTGCGGACCGCCGCGGCGGAAGGGGGATGGGACTGGCAAGCAGCCAGGGAGGCCTCCCGGGCGGGAATCCAAAAATGCCCGGGACGCCAGACTCCTAGAAACGCCAGAGGGATGGAGGTTCGGTACCCAGTCCTGGAAGGAAGGTCTGGGGAGGGAACGAAGCAGATTTTGCGGTTGAGCCAAGGGCAATGTGAAGGCGAGGAAAAGATGGAGAACAGAGTGGAGGGTGGAGGAGAGAGCGAGGAAAAGGCACCTCTAGGGCAGGGTTGGTTGAGGGTGAGGGGCAAGAGAAGAGCTATTACTACAAGGGAAGGGCAGAGCGATGGAGAAACAAGAGGAGGAGGCACAAGGGGCCTAGAGAGGAGGAATTGGAGAAGAGTCAAGGAGAGGGGTGAGGTGACCAGAATGAGAACAAGGGGTGCCGGGATGGCGAGAGGCTCCCCTGCCTGCGCCTCACCCTGCCGCGCTCCCTCCCTAGCGCTCTCTCCAGCCGTTCGCACTCACTTTGTCACAATTACGGGGCCGTCACTCGGCCGGGATTGTTTTCCCCAAATTGTTGTTCTATAAACTGGCGCGAGGTGGGGGCGGGGGGGGGAATCTGACAAGCTGAAGTGGGAGGGGAGAATGAGCAGCTGTCGAGGGCATGGTAACGTATTTACCCGCTATGGCCCCGGCTTGGCCTTGGTTACTACAGAAACCCACGAGGAAACTGATCGCCGCCCCAACCTTCATCACTGACTCCGCTTTCCACCGTCCTGGCACCCCCACCCCCAGTCTCAGCGGCCTCGATTTTCCCAACTGAATGGGGCAAGCGCTGGAGGCCGAGCTGATGATCAGGCGCGGCCAAGAGTTTCTTTGACCTTTCCCCATTCTCCCTCGAGTGCCTGCTCGCCTCCCTCGTTTGCACTCTCTCCTTCCTAAGTGTGCCCACGTCCCCCTGTCCCCGCGACGCTTGCTCCCCTGGACCACCTTGCCACCCCTCAATTCTGCAGACATCTGTTGCGCCCACTGAGCGAGAACTGCGCTGGCTTCCCAGCTATCTCCCCCCTCCACCCCCAACACCCGCCACCCGCCTCTTCCCCGCCAGCCCAGCCTGTCGGCTCCGTGACAGCCGCCGCCGAAGCCCGGGCCCCGCGGGAGCGGCCGGAGAGGAGACGCTGCATGGCTGGCTCCGACACCGGCCTCCCTCGCGGCTCCAGGGGCAACGGAGGATGGCGGCCGCTGAAGCGAGACCAGAGTCGGCCGCAGGAGTTGGCAGGGCTAGACGAGGGAGGGGAGAGGGAGGGCTCCTCTCCCTTCCTTTTAATTCTGTCTTTCTCATTCGATCGCCCTGCGTCCAGCCTGGACCCGGACCCTTCCCGCTGAGCGCGCCTGGGATTCAGTAGGGTCCCCGGTACCCCCCCGCCCCCCACCCCCAAGTCCGGGTGATTTACACGCGGGCTCCGCTCAGCGGCCGCTTCCCAATCAGGAATATCGACCCCGGGCGGGGCCCTCGGGCCGCATCGATCCCTCTAAGGCTCGGGATTTAAAAATGTCAAATTTGCCTTTTCCAGGCGGGCGGAGGGGGGCGGGGGCCAGGAGGAGGGCCGGTTTGCGAGAGGGGCGGACAGCAAGGCATCGACCAGAAGCCTGTGCCCGGAATGAGAAGTGAAGGCAGCCGTGCCCTGGCATGGCCTGGTCATTCTTGTGTTCGCCATTGTGGCAACAAGGGAGCTCTACCCCTGACTCCTTTAATCCCCACAGCGCTGCACTACTGTACCGGATTATTCCCAGAAACAGGAGCCCAAAGAGGAACAAAGATCACCCCAAATCTGGGGAGACAAATTTGGAAGAGATCCCTAAAGGTTAATCACAGGGGAAAGAGATAAAACTATAGAACCCCCCCCCCCCGCAGAACAATTTAGCCCTGCAAAGAGCACGGCAAACGGAAGCGGCCTTCAGGGAGCCTTGTTACAGCAATGTTCCAGAGACCCAGAATCCCCGACTCTACAGGTTCATGAGATTCAGCCTGAAGAGGCCAGGCTCAACTTCTGGATGGTTTGAGAATGGAGTGGAAGGGTGGAGACAAAGCTTGGGGAGAGACATTATAGCGTGATTAGTATTGTCTTCCCAAGGTGTGAACTAGTAACTAACCAGGCCCAACAGTCCAAAGACTAAGCCGAGCATTGGTGGTGCACGCCTTTAATCCCAGCACTCTGGAGGCAGAGACGGGTGGATCTCTGTGAGTTCGAGACCAGCCTGGTCTACAGAGCTAGTTCCAGGACAGCCTCCAAACAATACAGAGAAACCCTGTCTCGAAAAACAAAAACAAAACAAAACAAAAAAAAGAGTCCAAAGACTGGGGTCTCCAGCAGCTAATGCTTCTCTGGGCCCTAAGAAACAAACGTGTTCCCTTAGAGACCAAAAGATCCGGTCTTTCTCATCACACAGGTGTCTGCTCAGCAGCCACTTCTCAGGCCACACCAGGCAGGGGAGACCAGCTGAGTTGGAGATCACACCTTTTTTAATGGTTTATTTTTGTATGTCTGTTGTGATGGTGTCAGGTCCCCTGGAACTGGAGTTACAAACAGTTGTATGCTTCCATGTGGGCGCTGGGAATTGAATTCGGGTCCTCTGGAAGAGAAGCCAAAGAGCAGCTCCTAACCTCTGAGCCATCTCTCCAGCCCCTGGAAATCACATCTTATACTAGAGACTGTATATGTATGCTCTATACGTAGGACTGTAGGTTAGGGAGAACTCTGACAGCGATCACTTCTCCAACACTAAGCAATTAGATATCTAGACTTTGGGGAGGGAAGAGTGTCCGCTGCTTTCAGTGCTTGGGGGGAGGGATGGCGGCGAAGGTGCTAGGAGGGATCAGATGTCACAGCTCTCCCACTGTTGACATATCACACACCCTCAGGAGCACACCTCAGCTGTCACCCTGTGCACTGCCATTTCCCCCAGATCTGCAGACAGAACTGACAGCAAGTTGAAGGGGGACACGCGCAGGGAAGGGGTGCGGTCGCTCATCCTCCACTGATGAAACCAGGGGGACACATCCTTGACACTGGCACATATACTCACTGGCACTGATGCACCATCTACTCTATCCATCACGGCCACGCGCGCGTGCGCACCTTTGTCTGAGTGAGCGATCACGCACAATTCTCCTGAGGTCAGGCACCAAAAGCGCCTAGTTTAAAAGCCTATCTACCTCCCTTCTCGGTGTCTGACTTTAAATCGCCTAGTCCAAGGGCAGAGTTTGTCTCCATCTCGGATTTCCTAATTCCTTAGTTAAGGAGTCGGCCAACAATCGGGAGGCCAAGTTCAAGGTGGTTAAGGCCAGGGTCAAAATGAAAAACCAGGAACAGAGGGAGCCATGGGACTGTTAAACGCTCCCTTGTTCCCGCTTCTGCTACTGGCCTCTTTGCCGGCACGTCTCTCGCCGCCCACCCGGCCCCTGTCCGCCTGTCAGTGGAGTAATGAATGCGCGCTCGGGGCCCTGGCCCCCCCCCTGAGTCGTTCATCACTGCCAGCACCGCCCACCTCTGCCTCCAGCCGAGGGCTCCGCGGCCCCGCAGCAAGCCCCCCCCCCAACCCAGGACCACTAATTGTCAGATTGAGATGTTGATTTGTCAGCTGGGAGCCAGCGCCAAAGAATCCGCAGTAAAACCTGGACTCCTTGAACTTCCTCTTGGCTCCACTTGGGTTCGCCCGGATTTGGAGCATTTCTCGATTTGATATGGATGGTTTGGGTTTTAACTCAGAAGGGCGAGGATAAGGAGAGCGGTGTCATTCTAGTCCGATAGGAGGCGCCGTAAGCTAGAGGCCTGACATTCCCCCCCCCCCCCAAAGGGGTGGCCTTGGGTTTAGTTCCTTTTGCGGGGAGTGGAGACCCTAAACGCTTAGTCC